GAGTCCCTTTAATACAATAATCCCAGCCCCACAAGTTAAAGGGGTGCTGTCCTCTTCCACTACAGCTTCTGCATACTTGTATCACCTCCCATTCTCTCTGAGAAGCTCGTTTTTGCCCTCAAAGTCTTTCCATCTGTCGAGGGCATCCCTCCCGCCCGCGCGGGCCTCCGGAGTTGCTTCAGGGTCACGCGCGTGCATTTCGGATTCCCGCTCCTCCAGGTCATAGGCACCCCCCTGCGCCCCCTAGCCCCAGCCCAGCGCCCTAGCGCCGCCACACCTGCTCGCACCTCGCCCAGACCCCGTCTCACCTGCTGCCCCGGTCTGCGGGGACGCCCCGGACACGTCCGGCTCCGGGCCGCCCGGCCGCCCTGCCCGCTCTACCTCCGGCTTGGGCTCGGGTTTGGGTTCCAGCAGCGCGCCCGCCCCTCACAGCCTGCTTCCGGGAGCCGGGTGGGCCTCTGGCCGCCGCCGCCATGATGGCCCCATCACGTGACGGGGTGAGGCGTTCAAGCCCCGCCCCTGCCCCGCCTTCCTGTCCCCACACTGGCGCCCAACTTCCGAAGCCCGCGGCGAAGAGTAGAGGCGGTCAGGGCTGCGGCTCTCGCTCTGGCCCCCGCCGCTGCCTTCCCTTGACACCCGCTCCTTCGACTCCCGGGTACCTGCGGGGCCGCCCGAAATAAAGACCCATTTTCTCTCTCTCCCTCCGTAACATGGAGAATGCCTGCAGTCCCGCAGACTCGTGCGCTGGAGCATCCGAAGGAACACGGCTGCCCTAAGCCGAGGCGGCTCTCAGGTTTTCCTCCTCTCTCACCTTGGTGACCTCCGGGCCCGACGTCAGTATGGCCCCGACACCTGAGGGAGGCAGTGTGGTGTTAAGGGCTTGGACTCCCGCATGAAGCCGGGCTAAGGCTCAAATCCCACCCCTGTCGCTTACCACTGCGTGGCCTTGGGCAAGGCACATTACTTCTTAGTGTCCAGTTCCTTTGTCTGCAGTCAAAGGAGAGCAGTGCCCAAGTAAAAAAGGCTAAAGTTCAGCCCTGTTGCTGAATGCCCGCCTTCTGCCACTTAACAAGCTGTGTTACCTTGGAAAGGTTATTTTCCTTATACTGAGCCTTAGTGTATCTCCGATGGCTTCCCACCTCACTCAGCCTAAAAGCCAAAATCTTTATAATGACCTATAAAACCCTCTATCCCCTGTTCCTCCACTACTTCTCTGACGTCATCTACAATTCTCCCTCCAAACTCTTTCTACTCCATCTGTACTGGCTACCTCCTGGGCCTTTGCATACTGTGCCCTGAAAGGTTTTGGTTCTTCTCCCAAATACCCACCTGGTTCCCTCCAGCCCCTCCAGTTCTCTGTTCAAATGTCACCTTCTCAGAGAGGCCTTCCTGGGCCATCCTGTTTAAAACAGCATCACCACCACCTCCACTAGTAGTCTACCTGCTGTCCTTCCAGCCTCTTCCCCTTCACTGCATTTTCTCCATAGCACTTAACACCATCTGGCACACTATGTATTTTACTTATTTACTATCTCTTCTCCCTACAGATTTTTTTTTTAAGATTTTATTTATTTATTTGAGAGAGAGAGAGAGAATGAGAGACAGAGAGCATGAGAGGGAGGAGGGTCAGAGGGAGAAGCAAACTCCCTGCCAAGCAGGGAGCCCGATGCGGGACTTGATCCCAGGACTCCAGGATCATGACCTGAGCCGAAGGCAGTCGCTTAACCAACTGAGCCACCCCAGGCACCCCCTCCCTACAGATTTTTATCTATTTGTTCACTTGTATTCCCAGTACTTAAAACAGTTATTGGGGGGCACCAAGCTGGCTTAGTCAGAAGAGCATGTGACTCTTGATCAGGGGTGTGTGTGGGGGATTCTAGCCCCATGATGGGTGTAGAGATTAATAAAAAAAAGAAATAAAGTTAAAAAAAACAGTTATTGGTAAGTAAAAAGCAGTCAGTAAATATTTGATGAATAAATGAATAAGTTAATTCAGATAAAATAGCCTAGAAAGTGCTGGCCCATATTAGCTGGTAACACTCATCAAATAGTTATCTATATGCATCTAAACTCTGTTTTAAGAATTCCTGGGCTGGGCGCCTGGGTTGCTCAGTTGGTTAAGCGACTGCCTTCAGCTCAGGTCATGATCCTGGAGTCCCTGGATCGAGTCCCGCATCGGGCTCCCTGCTGAGCAGGGAGTCTGCTTCTCCCTCTGACCCTCCCCCTCTCATGTGCTCTCTCTCTCTGTCTCAAATAAATAAATAAAATCTAAAAAAAAGGAATTCCTGGGCCATCTGCAGTATATGAATTCTGTCGTGTCACAACAACCCATAAGGTAGGTACTATTATTATCCTTGGTAGTTGGAAAGCTTAGATAATATGCCCAGAATCTCATGGTAAGAGAAAGAGTTAGAACTGGGACCCAGGGGCGCCTGGGTGGCTCAGTCAGTTAAGCATCTGCCTTCGGCTCAGGTCATGATCTTAGGGTCCTGGGATTGAGCCCTGCATCAGGCTGGGAGCCTGCTTCTCCCTCTCTCTCTGCCTGCCGCTCTGCCTACTTGTGCTATCTCCCTGTCCGATAAATAAATAAAATCTTTAAAAAAAAATGTTAAAAAAAAAAAGAACTGGGACTCAGATCTTTCCAGTTCCACACTCATGTGGTTTCTGAGAAGATGAAATGAGTTCACTCATTTGCACAGGTGATTAGTAAATGTTGGTTTCCTTTACACTAAGGCTTGGAGGGTAGGGGGTGGGAGAGTCTGGGATTACACCTTGAGAAATCTTTTTTTTTTTAAAGTATGCTCCAACACGGGGCTTGAACTCATGACCCTGAGATCAAGACCTGAGCTGAGATCAAGAGTCCGATCCTTTTTTTTTTTTTTAAGATTTTATTTATTTATTTGACAGAGAGCAAGAGAGGAAACACAAGTAGGGGGAGTGGGAGAGGGAGAAGCAGGCTTCCCACCGAGCAGGGAGCCCGATGTGGGGCTCGATCCCAGGACCCTGGGATCACGACCTGAACAGAAGGCAGATGCCCAACGACTGAGCCACCCAGGCGCCCCAAGAGTCCGATGCTTAACAGACTGAGCCACTTAGGCACCCCGAGAAATACTTTCTTATGATAAAGTAAACAGCTAAAATTTATATCCTACAAGTTCCAGAGTGCCTTTATACCTAACTGGCAAACCCCTACAGAGTAGTGGCTCCCATGCATTCATCTAGAAACACAAAGACTCAAAAACCAAGATTTCCCCAAGGTTGTTCAGTGAGTGAACCAAATACTCTCCATCCCAGTCCTGGACTGAAGCTCCTTGAACTCATGACCCTTGTTTCTTTTGGGGGTGGAGGTCATCCTGAATGAAGGCAGGAGTGGGACAGGATGGCCTTACATTCTGGCCTTCTGTTTTCCAGGAGGGAGGCCAGTTTTCTCCCATTGTTGAGCTACATTTTGCTCAAAAGCACCTGGCAGAGAGAGACTTACAGCAAGATCACATTATTTTAGATTATTTTTGCCTATTGTGGGATCTATTAAAAATATGTTTAGTCGTAAGGCTCCCCTGTCCCTTCAGAACTGAGAAGCACAGCTAGGAAAGGTCCTAACATGAGAAATGTGCTAGCAGAGGACTGGAAGAGATAAAAGGCAGCCTGTGAGCACAGCCCATCTCTAGGACATGCTTCTAGTAAAGGGCAAGGAGGCCTGAGGTCTATGTATTGCAGAGTCACAGGGGAAGTCCTCGTTTTCAGGGAAGGTGGGAGGATGCTCTGGGAATAACTAGGAACCTTACTCATCAGAGGAACATTGTTTAAAACTTTAAATATGAAAATGTTCAAACATACACAAAGGTAGAGAGTATAGTTCTATGAACCCTTATATAGTTAATATTAATAATAATATTAATTTTGTCACTTTGTTCCTTCTACTCCCTGCTTTCTGTCCTTTTTTGTTGGCCAAAATATCTAAAAGTAAGTATGTCACTTCACTCCATACTTCAACATCTCTAGGAAATAAGGCCCTTTGCTTACATAACCCCAAAGCCATTTTACATCTAACAAAATCAGTACTGATTCCTTGGCAATGTAAATACCCAATCCATAATTAAAAGGCTCCAACTGGGGCCCCTAGGTGGCTCAGTCATTGAGCATCTGCCTTCAGCTCAGGTCATGATCCCAGGGTCCTGGGATCGAGCCCCACATCGAGCCCCGCATCGAGCCCTGCATTGAGCCCCACATCGAGCCCCGCACTGGGCTCCCTGCTCGGCGGGAAGCCTGCTTCTCCCTCTCCCACTCCCCCTGCTTGTGTTCCCTCTCTCGCTGTGTCTCTCTGTCAAATAAATAAAATCTTAAAAAAAAAATAAAAATAAAAGGCTCCAACTGTCTAAAACTGTCTTTTTACAATTGGGTTGTCCAAATCAAGAACCAAACAAGGTCCACATGCTCCATATAATAGTTGTCCTTTTATTATCATTATTATTATTATTATTATTTCCCTCCTCCCCCAGCCATTCACTAGATGAAGAAATTGGGTCAGATTTCCTTGAAAAGTTTCCACATTCTGGATGTGTCTTCTCGCCTCCTTGCTGGGTCATTTAAATTGTTCCTCCATCCCTGATATTTCCTGTTAAGTGGAGGTTAGTTCTAGAGGTTTGATTTGAATCACATTCAGTTTTTGTGTGTGTTTGTTCCTTTGTTTGGCAAGAGTCTTTCATGGGTGGTGCTGAGGGCTTCAGATTACATCACATCAGGAGGTACACAGTAGGTGGTTGTGCCCTTTTTAGTGATGGTAAGATTCATCAGTGGGGTCAGGTGGTGACAGCTTGATTCCTCCATTGTAAAGTTCCCCATCAACCATCGTCTTTGGTTTCATCCATTCATGATTCTTGCTTTGATCAATTATTTCATTAAGAGTTGCAAAATGATTTTTCTAATTCCATATTCCTTCCACATTAGCTGGAATTCTTCTGTAAATGAGAAGTTTTCTCCACCACTTAGAGCTATTTGGTTACCCTGAAATATAGTTTATATAGGACAGGCAACATAAATGCTTAATTCTTTTTTTTTTTTCCGAAGATTTTTTTTAAACTAATCTCTACACCCAATGTGGGGCTTGAACCTATAACCTCAAGATCAAGACTTGCTCACTCCACAGACTGAGCCAGCCAGGTGCCCCAATTCTTTTTAATTGCTTATTTTCAGAATAAAGAAGTTGGAAGAAGCATCATTTTTAAAAAGTTTGAGCTTAGAGCTGAGTAGGGACGAATTGCCTGGATCATGGGTGAGGAAAGGAAGGACTCTTCTGGTAGCTGTGTCCAGCCCTTGCAAACACCAGTACTTGGGGCATGTGTGGGATAGACAGACATTGGAGGACTCACTGTCCTGGACCTTGGACAGCAATGAGATAGGCATGACGCAGGCATGGTGTGCAGGTACCTGTAGGACCCAGGGAGAGAGAAAGACAAATATGGAGAGGCAGAAAGAAATAGGAAGTGAAAAAAACAACTAGACCCAGAAGACAGGGAGGGAGACAAGGACAGAAAGGGAAATAGAAATGAAAGAGATGGAGAATGAAATGCACCAGAAGCCGAACAGGATAGAAAAACAGAGGGGGGGGGGGGCCGCCTGGCTGGCTCAGTCGGTGGAGCGTGCGACTCTTGACTTCAGGGTCCTGAGTTCGAGCCCCATGTTGGGCATAGAACTTCCTTTAAAAAAAGAGAGAGATGTGTAAGGTGGATCGAAAGACCAAGAAAGCAAATAGAAATGAAGACACAAACTGACACAGGGAAGGGGGAAAGAAAAAGACATCTATGTTAGGTAGACTTTAAATTAGATGCGGAGGGGTGCCTGGATGGCTTCGTTGGTTAAGCGTCTGCCTTCAGCTCAGGTCATGATCCCAGGGTCCTGGGATCAAGACCCACATCAGGCTCCTTGCTCAGCGGGGAGTCTGCTTCTCCCTCTCCCTCTGCCTGCCACTTCCCCTGCTTGTGCTCTCTCTCTGTCAAATAAATAAAATATTTACAATTAATTAAATTAATTAGATGGGGAAATGGAGAGAGAAATAGAGGGATAGAGAACGGGGAAAACTGATGTAGAGATAAAGTTAGGTGAAGGCAGAATGTCCCAGTGATGGAAAGAAGGAAGTAGAACTGGAGAGAGTGATGTAGACAGACAGAAGGAAGGGTAAACAGAAAGCTACACAGAGATAGAAAGGAAAGAACAAAGGGACCCACAGAAGGAGGCTGAGAAAGAGAACACTGAAAGGACTTGAGGAATGTAGAGGGGTACTTAGGGGCTCTCGGCTTAAGGCCCAGTCCTGGGCAGATACCCGGGCTTTTACTTCCAGCTTCCTATTGGTCGCTTCTCCAAACCCCCAGCTCCACCCCCAGGGACAGGGGATTCTGACTAGCTATGTGGATGGGATCACTGGGACCCTGAGTCCAGGGTTCCCAGCTTCCCTTATCCCCATGCCAGATGAGCATGAATGTAGCAGGTGGGATTATTGCTGGAAGATTGAGGTCATGAGACTGCGTGAGCACTCAGAGATTTGAAAGACAAGATATCCAGGCAGAGAATGCCAGGTTCCTAGAAGCAAAGGACCATGAAGGATGTCATGATATCCAAGGGGAGGGAAGAGCCAGGAACCCTCTGCTCAACTTTCTCTTCTGATCCAAGAGCCACTGACCTTCTTTGCCTGACTCAAGATGAGAGGTAAGGGGTCCAGAGACTCTTGGGTCAGTCAGGGAGATGGGTGGATGTCCAAGAGGCAAGACGTAGCCCCTTAACAAAGAATCCCCTCCTGCCTCTAGAGGAGGAATGCACCTTATCCAGGCAAACTACAGAGACGATGAGCCAAGAAGGATCTCCAGCAGAGGCTGACTAGAGGAAGAAAATGGCCAACTTGCTCACCTTCAGCAGCCATGAGGGAGGCTCTGAGAAACACGCTTTCCATTCCAGAAGTTGCAGAAGAGGAGGTTCTGGACCCAGCAGGAGCATGTCCAGAAACTAACATCAAAGCAGATGCTCCGCTCTCAGGGACTGAGGGGGAGGCCGGGGCTCTGAGCAGCCTTCTGCCTCTGCCTGTCTGGGCGAGGGGTCTAGCTGATCCCTCTCCTCACTCCAGAGCTTCTGTCTCCCCCGCAGAGGAAGCAGCTAGCAGAAGTGCTCCAGGAGACTGACAGTCTCTCAGGGGAGCAACAGCCCAGCTAGACTATCAGACAGTGCCTCTGAGAGGGGCGTTGTCCCCTGAAGCAGCGGCCAGTGGAGCCTGGAGGAGCCCCTCGGCCACAGCCACAGCTGTCGCTGCAGTCCAAGCAGGAACTTGGACAGGCAGCTCGGCCTTTGGAGCAAGGGGAAATCGGGCAAGATGAGGGATGGCAGCAGGTCAAGTGTGGACCAGTGCATGGGATGCAGCAGCTGTGGGGACAAGTCAAGGGCGGGCAGGCAGGGCAGGGAGGGCAGGGGCAGGTACAGGGTGGGCCAGGGAGGCCGGGACAGGAGGGGCAGGTGGCTGCATAAGAGGGATACGCAGTGCAGGAGCAGGTGGGAGGAGGACAGCTAGGGCAGGGGCAAAAACAGGCGGAGGGGGGACAGGACAGACAAGGAGAGGCAGCTGGTGGGCCGTGCCCGGAGGGTGGAGGGGGCTGTTGGTGGGTAGCCTTCTTGTTCCGAGGCCCCAAGCGTAGGCCGAGAGAGAAGTCCATTCAGCTGCAGGAGCGGCCAGGCTGGGGGTTGGGTGAAGGGAAGGGCAGGGGTGAAGTAGGAGGGGCGGACTGAGAGAGGCAGGGGTAGGGGCAGGATTAAACTTAAGACACAGCTGAGCCTTTGCTGATCCTGCTGGGAGCTCAGACCTCCGCAGCCAGCCCTCCCCTTCCAGGCCTGCCCAGCGATGCTCTCCTGGAATGCTACTCTCCACTGAAAATTCTCTGCACCACAGCAGAACCCATTCCTCAAATGTGACGCTTTCATGCCTCCAGTCCTTTGTTTCCACCGTTCCTTCTGCTCTGCTCCCAATGCTCTTTTTCTTTTCGCTGCCTGGTGAGGTTCTCTCATCTCTGAAGTCTTCCCCTTTATTCGATCAAAATGTTTTTTCTTGAGCTCCGGGCACCTGACACCTGCCTGGGTAAGGAAGGACCCCTGCTCAGCGCGCCCTGGCCCTGACGGCCAGGCCGGCCACCACCGGACCTGCCCTGGCTGCCTCTAGCTCCCAGACTGTTCCCCGAGGGCGTTTAGGGAAGCAGCCCCAGCCGCCACCCCAGAGCTGTCTGAGACACTGAGCCAGGGATGTTGGAGGGAACTGGCAGTGGAGGGAGGATGCTTAGGTTCTGGGGATTTCCAGCCAGGGCAAATCCCAGGTGTTGGGGTGGGGGTGCTCAGCTGTCTCTGGAAGACTGACAACCAGCCTGGACAATTATTATTTGAGGACTTATCGTGTAAAAGGGAGTGAATAAAGCAGCTAAGTTTCCTCTTTTATAGAGTGCCCATAAAAGTGAGGGGTGGGGCAGGGTGAGGACCAAAACCAAACAAGTAAATAAACAAATACATAAGCTTATTTCAGAGCATGAGAATGGCTGTGGGAAACCCAGAGTGCCCTGATGACAAGTGGCTCAGAGAGGTGGGCCCATCAGCAGGGGCAGCTAGTCAGACCCCAAACTGTCAGGTATGACAGCGCTTAAAGGTTTGGGGCGAGATACAGTCTGTCAAGCCCCAGCAGACCAGGGGAGAGGTGCCTGAGGCTGAATGCATCCCAGGTGGCTGGGCTGTGCAGAAAAACAAAGCTGAGGAGCGGATAAGCAATGTGGGAGGTTGCAATATCAAATTTGGTGGTCTGGGTGCCTGGGTGGCTCAGTCAGTTAAGCGTCTGCCTTTGGCTCAGGTCATGATCCCAGGGTCCTGGGATTGACTCCCCGCTCAGCGGGGAGTCTGCTTCTCCCTCTACCCTTCCCCCTGCTTGTGATCTCTCTCTCTCAGGCGCTCTCTCTCTCTCAAATAAATAAAATCTTTTTTTTTTAAAGATTTTATTTATTAGGGGTGCCTGGGTGGCTCAGTCATTGGGCATCTGCCTTCAGCTCATGAGCGGGGAGCCCGATGTGGGGCTCAATCCCAGGACCCCGGGACCATGACCTGAGCCAAAGGCAGACACTTAACGACTGAGCCATCCAGGCGCCCCTCAAATAAATAAAAGCTTTAAAAAAATAAAATTAGATTAAGTGGTCAAGGAAAGTGTCACTGAGAAGCGGTATTTTAGCAAAGACCTGAAGGAAATGAGGGAGAGAGCCATGGAAAGATCTAGTGAAAGAACATTCAGCAGAAGATTGGGGGTGGGGGTGGGGCAGAGGTGGCAACACTCGATGGGACTGGGGGCAAAGGCGAGAGTCCTAATGGCACAGATAGAGATCAAGGCAGGGGCCCCAACATGCAAGGCCCTGGGAACCCCCACAGGGGCTTGGATCTTAGTCTGGTAAAAGGGAAAACTGCAGAGGGTTTTAGGCAAGAAAGCCTATGGGTCTTCTTGGTCTCATGCCTGACCCCTGGTTAGAAAGTTCTGCTTTTTTTTTAATTTTATTTTTTAAAGATTTTTATTTATTTTTTTGAGAGACAGAATGAGATAGAGCATGAGAGTGGGGAGGGTCAGAGGGAGAAGCAGACTCCCCGCTGAGCAGGGAGCCCGATGTGGGACTCGATCCCAGGACTCCAGGATCATGACCTGAGCCGAAGGCAGTCGCTTAACCAACTGAGCCACCCAGGCGCCCGAAAGTTCTGCTTTCTATGTAATTGGTGTAACCACTTTGGAAAACAGTTGGGCATTATCTGATAACTGAGATTGCCTATAGGAACACTTCGACTCTTAGGTTTGGTTTGGTTTTTTAAGTAAGCTTAAAAGCCCCAGTGTGGGGCTTGAACTCATGACCCTGAGATCAAGAGTCAGCATGCTCTATTGACTGAGCCAGCCAGGTGCCCCATGACTCTTAGTTTTATAGCCTGGAAGAACTCTTGCATGTATGTCCTGGGAAACGTGTCCAAGAATGTTCTTAGCAGCATTGTTCATGATAGGCATACTGAACACAACTCAAACCTCTACCAACAGTAGGATAAAAACATAAATTGTGATGTATTCATGTGACTGAGTACTATGCAACAATAAAAAGACAGTTATGTGCAACCACTTGGATACGTCTTACAAACAGGAAGTTGAACAAAAGAAGACACAAAAGAATAATACAGTATCATTTCATTTACATAAACCTCAAAAACAGGCAAGATTAAGCAATATTTTTAGGGATGCATGCATAGGTGCTAAAACTATAAAGAAAAACAAGGGGGGCGCCTGGGTGGCTCAGTTGGTTAAGCGACTGCCTTCGGCTCAGGTCATGATCCTGGAGTCCCTGGATCGAGTCCCACATCAGGCTCCCTGCTCAGCGGGGAGTCTGCTTCTCCCTCTGACCCTACCCCCTCTCATGTTCTCTCTCTCATTCTCTCTCTCACTCGCTCTCAAATAAATAAATAAAATCTTTAAAAAAAGAAAAAAAAGGGGGCGCCTGAGTGGCTCAGTTGGTTGAGCGACTGCCTTCGGCTCAGGTCATGATCCTGGAGTCCCTGGATCGAGTCCTGTATCGGGCTCCCTGCTCGGCGAGGAGCCTGCTTCTCCCTCTAACCCTCCCCCCTCTCATGTACTCTCTCTCTCTCTCATTCTCGCTCTCTCAAATAAATAAATAAATCTTTAAAAAAAAAAAAAGAAAAGGAAGGGGCACCTGGGTGGCTCAGTTGATTAGGTGTCTGACTTCAGCTGGGGTCATGGTCTCAGGGTCCTGGGATCAAGCCCCATGCCCCCATGCTGGCCTCCCTGCTCAATGGAGAGTCTGCTTGTCCCTCTGCCCTTCCCCTGCTCGTGCTCTCTCTCTCTCTCAAATAAATAAATAAGATCTTTAAAAAATCCAAGGAAATAATTATCACAAAAGTCAGGATGGTGGTTACTTCTTAGGGGAGGGAAGGAATTATGGGAAGAACACATGGGAGCTTCTGGAGCACAGGAAATACTATTTCTTGACTTGGATGGCAGTTAAGTAGGTACTCTGTTTGTTTCAGTTTATTTGTACCCCTTTCATAATGTATTTATATATTCTGTCCAGAAAGAGAAAATAAGGTATCATTTTTTTTCTCTGGTCCATGCCACCTTGTTCAGATAGTGATGCTGAAGTTAGATACTTCCTAGTCCATATACCTATCTTTCCCACCAGATCTCAAGGACAGCGGCCTTCCTTGTTTTTTTGGCACCTATCCATGCCTGGCATGAGGCAGGTAATAAATGTTTGCTGAATTAGATTGCATTGAATTTCCCAAATCTCTCATCCCATGGAGAGAGGGGCAGTTGAGGAAGAGGAGGAAGCCTTTGGTGGTGAAGAGCGCTCAGGATCACCAAGACCTGGGTTCCCACCTTAGCTCTGCCACTTCCTAGCTATGTGATTTGGGCAAGTTGCTTAACTTCTGATTCTTAGCTCCCTCTTCCGTGAAATGGGGATGATAACTGCTAACTCTCTGGACTGCTGTGTGGATTAAGGTGAATGCCTAGCATAATGCCTGGAACACAGTAGGGGCTCAACAAAGGATAGCTTCCCAATCCCCCTGGCCCCAGCCCCACATCTTTTCTTCAAAGGAATCTACTAGTTGGAGCAACCAGATACCAAAGATGGCCCCAGAAAGTGGGACAACATCTTTGGGGGAGGCCCCTGAAGCTAAGGTGAATCTGTAGTCTGGTAGAGAGCTGGCAGACAGGGAGATCCAACTGAAGCTGAACTGATCCCAGGAAGTCAGTGGGAGTTGGCAGGGGAGATAGGACACCAGGGCTCTGGGAGTTTCCATCTCGGGGAAGTCCCAGGTGTGGGTGCAGGGATGCCAGGCCAGCCCCACCCAACACCCTGGCTCCAGGGGATGTGGGCACAGGGAGGAAAGTGGGTCAGAGCAGGGCTGGAATTTAACCCCATTGGTCCCAAGACCTCTTTGCCAGCTCCAGAGGCCGCAGGGCCACAAAGAAGCCTGTTCCCTCCTCCAAAGGGCCTTCCATTCCTTTTCCTCAGAAAGAAAGACTTGGCACCTTGGTGTCTAGGCAAGAGGAACTGGAAGCCCCCCAGTGGACAGAGGAGAGATAACCCTCTAACCCCTGGATTGAGGTTCTGTACAAAGCACTGCTACACCCGCCCACGTGATGACTGGCAGACACCTGGAGCTCTCACCTCACACATACTCCAGGCAACTAGCCCTGCTCCCAGTTCCAGGGAGTGGGCCAGGTCAGGGCTGGATCAGGGAAGGGGAAGGGCGCATGGCAGAACAGCTTGGAGGAGAAGGCTTTTCTCTCTGGTGAGGCTCCAGCTAGGCAAACACAGGAATCCCTCACTCCGGGGGATTTGCCAACAATGTGGGGCCTTGTTTTCTGTGTATAATCTGAGGCCTAAGCCTGTGGTTTCCTCTTCCCTATCTGTGCCTCTATTTCCCTTTCCGGAGGAGGAAATGAAGGAGTGGGGGGGGAATCACTCCAGGGCGGGGTCACCAGGTGTCCCGGGACCCCCGCTTTGGCCTTTAGGAGGTGCTTATCATCTCTCCCTTGTAGCATATCAAAATCCACGTGGGGAACAGGAATGGAGGGACCCTCTTCTTTCTGGGGGGAGCAGGGTGGCTGGGAGCCAGGACCCTGTTCCAGGCCCATTGCCCATATTCTTTTGTTGCCTTCCTTTCTCTCTACTCTCCTCCTCAGCTTTTCCCGGAAGCCTTTCCTGATCTCCTGGGCTGGGGGGACATCCCTCCATTTCCACTCTCATTGTACCTTATGCCTCTGCACACCAGTTATCACTTGCAATTGTGTGGATTATCCAGTAAACATCTGACTTCTCCAGCAGATTATGAGCCTGAGGCGGTATTCCCAGGGTCTAGTACAGTGTGTGGTACACAGTGGATACTTAGAGGAGATCTGTTGAATTAATGAAGGGCGCACATTCAGGGAAGAGACCCCTAGAATTGTTTAGGGTAGTCCTCAAATCCTGCGTTCCAAAATCAAGGCCTTATTCTATGTGGGGATCTGGGTGGCACTGAGGCCAGTAAGGGGCCTTCCACACACAAATTCATTCACCAGGAAAGCCAACAAACTGGCAAGTGGGAGAAGAGGCCTGGTCAAAGGGGTGGAATTGAGCAAGCACCCAGGGCAGGGCTGGCACCGGCCTTGGCATGGGGCAGGCCTAGGGGGAGGAGGTGGGAAAGGAGGGGAGGAGGGGAAAAGAGAAGACACGTGTTGTACAAAACATGTTTTCATCACACTCTCCCTGGGTGCCCTGGCCTCCAAGCTCCGATGGCACTTCCGTGCCTTAATGATGTCCTTGGGGGCTGTAACGCAGCTCCCCCACCTCCCACAGACATCTGCCAGCCACCTCTGAGCAAGGCATAGGATGTCCTCCCCAGCTCCAGAGTGGGCACGGGGTAATTACCCAGTCCATGTCCTCATGTTCCTGGAGAGAGGGCAGGGTGACAATGAGGGGTGGGGCAAAGAAGCACAGTCAGGGCAGGTGG